TTATGAAGTCATCATTACCTGATGATTCATTAATATAGTGTGTCCCAAGCAGTTCTCTAGTGAATCATCATCTTCTACTCACTGTTTTGTGTACCGTAGTGTAAAGCGTCACCGTTAGTCTCTCCTACTCTTCTGCATTGCCTGTTTTGCTGCACAATTTTCGGCTGACCTTTACCTTGAGCAACACAAGGAATTCTCAGCATGACCATTTTCCATTTATCCATTTTCTTTCCGGGGTCAGGGTTACAGAGCAACAGGGTCAAGCAAAGCAGTCCAAACATCCTTTTCTAAACCAACTTTGTCCAGCTCCTTGAGGGCTTGTTCGTGCATTTCCAGGCTGAAATGCGGATATATTCCCTACAGTGTTTTCTGGGGTCCTCTCTGTCCACCATACCTAATAAGTCCCCTTAGGAAACATGGAAGGTCAGAAGATCAGAAGATAAATGTAGCAGAAAATCAAGTCCCCTAGACGACCAAAGAATACTAATTCTGAGCAGTCTGCAGTTTTTAAGTGAGACACATGGCCTTAGTCTTTTAAAAGCTTTATTAGATTAAACAGTATTTAGCAGTAGTAGTAGTTTACAGTGTATCATATCAAATTTGGCCAGACAGTTTGAAAACTGGAACACTCCTACCCCTTATGCAACACAGTGTGGCACAAGCATGCTAACTCAGAGCTGATGCTTACTGCATGCTCTGTCATTGTATCCAATTTTACATTTTCTGACCTAATTCAAATCTACTTTTGGTTTAGTCAGGAGAGGTGCAGACAGCAAGACATTTACAAATAAAGCAAAGCATGACAACATGGTACAGTGCTTGGAGAGACTATAATAGATAATATCAGGTAGAGGCTTGGAGATGATGATAGGATCAGATATAGCATGATCAAAGAAGGCATAATGATCCAATAAAAGGTTTCAGGCTAATCTGAGATGTTAGTTCATGATTCAAATGAATAATGATGATGCCTTAGTATGCCCCGCTGCCTTGAAACAAGGTGCTTTCACCCCTGCTGTGGTTCAGGTGAACGCTGGTGTAATTATACGAGCTTTATCCAGTCTAGCTTTTAGCTTATTAACAGTGAAACTGATGTAGGATGTTTGGTAGTTTTACCATATAAAGCCACAAACTTAAACTGTTTGTTTTTCGAGATCACCCCGAGCTGTGTGCTTGTGTGTTTCCTTGAGCCTTTTGGTGAGTCATTGTGTTGCCTCCTCACTGTGTACAGCATCAAGGATCCCAGTGCACTTTCATCTCCATCCAGCTACATGGCACCGGTTTACCGCTGCCCTCGACCTTTATGCACACCACCTGCCAGATGTTTGTGTGGGTGTCTTCATGGTTCCTCTTTTCCAGGAACACACTTTTCTCCAGCTCCTGTTTATCTCTCTCTCACACACACAAATCCTCGCTTGTATGCACAAACACAGATATTCCACCAATCATTCCACCTTCACTTATGATAGATAAGAGTCTATTTGTAAACAAAGATTGATTTTTTTTTTTTACTTTTCCAACACCTACAGTGTTTCAACTCCATGTTGAGTCACACATGGGTGCCACCTCTTTAAAAAGCCATCAGCATGGATCTATATCCTAACCTTGTGGAGCCATGTGTATCTGCCTGACTGGCCACACAATGGAGAAGGATGTGAATCAGCAAAGCTCACAGAAATTCAGAGAAATGCTAAATTACTTTCCCTTACATATACATAATCACACAAGCCTTAACCCAGGAGGTAACCGTTGTGCTTTCCTGCAGAACACCAGTTAAAAAGTACGTAATTAGTTTTTATGAAGCTAGTCCATATATAGCTACAAAATGATTACCTCTAATGGGTCTTCATTGTGCGTGGTCAATAAAAGAAATTTCAGTGCAAGTGTGATATTTTTCTATGTGGGATTCTAGTTATTAGCAGCACTTTGTAAAGCTAATGTAAGATATTGCCATGACAGCAGTGGTTGTATTGTAGTTTGTCTTTATCTCCTCAGCAACCGATCTTTTGTGTTTAGTCCGTTCATTGATCAGCAAGAATTACATGAGTTTCCATATTCAGATGCCCCGCGGCAGACAGCAGATGAATGCCCAAGTGGCACTCACACCTTTTCGCACTATTAGCCCCATGCATCATTAAACAGGGCTTTGAAATAGCTGCAATTTCTGTAACCTTAAAAAGATTATCTGCTCATATATCATTCCCACTTTTTGCACAGCAACCCAGTGGGAGAGATTCAGCTCGTTTAACCATCCTTGTTTTCCTGTTGTTCTCCACGAACAATCATGAGGGTTTCTTACAAATGCTTTAACCAGGCTTTGTAAGTAGGGCTGGGTCTCCTTTTTGTCACATACACGTTTTTGTAGCATTAGCTGATGCTGGAGCATTGTGGCTTCAGCTGGGAACATCAGAAAGGTTCCATTCCTTCTATATCCTTTAAGAAATACGTCATAATCTTAGAATTTCAGATTATTAAATAGCAACCAGGCTCTTGTAAAGAAGAGTTTTGTGAAAAGTGCTTAGTTTGTTTAAAAGTGTTAAAGGGATATCTGGACATTTTGAGGGTTAGGGTGCCATCTCCTCCTGATGACTTGTTAGCATTGTCAGCATATTTCATTCGAAGCCTGTCAGCTACAGCTTGATGCAGTTCTTCCCCTCCTTATTTAAATGAGGAAGACACTGATAATGAAGAGGAGGCTGCTAAAATCCATTTTTTGCTAATGAACACAATGTCCTGCCAAGAATCCAGGAAAGAAAAATAAGCATCTGAGTGTCATAGTTTCCTTCCAGTACAGTTACTGCGATCAAACAGTCAAAGCAGTGTCTTTTTTCATGTGTTGTTGTTGTAGAAGTGTATAGATTTCTGGAAAATGCCTAAATTCTATGACACAAAAACATCAAAAAAGGTTGGGTTTTTTTCTTCTCACTAACCCTCGTGGCAAAATGTGGTGTTATAGGTCGGCGCTGTAGTGCATCATGACAGTCACACTATTATCTCCGTACCAACATGTCACAACCAATAAACATCAAGAGCCTCAGTGAGTCAACAAAGGAGTATTTTTCATGGGGGAAGTCTGTTATGACTCATATGATGCTGGCTGCTTGTCAGTCACGGACTATCACCTCCTACCCTTGTTATGTACTTTTGTTTTACTGATGAACTAAAAAGGTACTTCTGAAAAGAAAAAGCTGCCACAAAATGTCAGCAGATTAGAGAGTTTGGGATTAAACTAAAGTTATGTCTGATGTAGTTATCTGCATATTTATGATTTGAGAAAGTTAGGTGTAAAGGTATGAAGTGCAGAAAATGTCATTGTCTCAGAATTGCACTCAGCCAGATGGAAGCTTAGAATTCCAAGGTCATGGTTTATGGATTTTAGGATGCACACTGTAGACACAACTCAAATTTCCTTGGGGCAAACTTTTTTTGTCAGAAAAATCCATATTTTATTAAAAAGTCAATACTTTCTACTTATGACTTTTTTGACTGCCTGCAGTAAAGAGTTATTGTTTTCCATAGTTTTTTTTTTTTTTTTTGGTACAGATTCTGAAAATTTAATCTGACATTGTTATTTGGAATCTGTAGTCCCAGAGCATGCCAGCAAAAATTGAGACCACAAAATTAAAAACATCTGCCAGCTCTGCATGTTCTCTGATGTTCTGAGTCTGATTTTTCTGTTCTACGTGTTTTTTCTCATCCCAGTCTGACTTCCTAAAACGAAAACAGTCAAAGGCTACTTTGATGTACATCTCAGTCAGTAATGAGGCAGTTGGATATTTGGGCAAATGTTTGAAGTCATGTTGAGGTTCAATTTTTTACCAAACAGCTTGTATGTTGGTTTTGTTTTACTAACCACAAGTCATAAACTGGTGAAAGCTTTGAGCAGAGTGATGCAGCTGTCGGCCCTTCCTGATTAATTGATGTTCCCCGTCTACCATCAGAAACTTCTTGTTCAATGCTTGTCTTTGGCTCAAACAGACACACCAAAACACCACGTAAGTCCAGTCTCATCTATCTGGGTCTAAATCAAAAAGCAAAAACAGATTATTTCAGCTTCGGAGTGGGTTTGCTCCAAAGGCAGACAGTATCTACTTTGTCGCACCATGCAAACACTTTCTGCACTTAATACGAATAAAGGGGAAATGAAAGGAGCAGACGATTATTGTCAACTCTTTCCCCCTCTCAGGTAAAATGACCAAAGCTAGAGTGAACAATAACAATCTGACAATTTCCCCCTTCAATTTACAATTTGCGCTCTGGCTCTTAGAGCTTCTCTGCTTCTTATTGAAACAGGCACATACATTCATCCCTGGTAAATTAGGAGGTAAATCAAGTTTGGAACAGTGTTTGGTTACTTTTTTTTTTTTAGTTTACTCACAATTTTGGTCTTTTAAAAGCAATAATTGATTAAAGCTCGAGCTATTAGTATTTTATATCAACAACGGGCCACCTCCTGGATGTCATTCCAATATTCATTCTCCTTCAAGTTCTGTTTTGATCTCCACAGACTGCTGAGCAAAATATAGATCTCTTTTAATGCCCCACTATGTTCACCAGTTTTTTAACTTTGTTTGTTTGCTGTTTGTTGCTGGGCATGTAAGCGTGTAGTGGGTTTGTCAAAATATTCATAAGTGTAGCTTTAAATTTGGTCTGTTATCCTAAGAAATTTAGTAAACTATTGTATTCATAGCATTATAAACAAACTGTATGAAATTTAAATCATTTTTCATGAGAATAATTTCAGAAACATTAAATTAATTAATTCACATTCAAGTAATAAAAAAGTGTGTCTGGTCCTCAGTGATGATGTTGCAAAAACTCCACATCAGCTAGCTTTTTGGTCATTAATTTCATGGCAATAACACCCTCGTCTAGCCAGGCCCGACTCTTCTCCTTCACTCTCTACAAACCCTGCTGCCAATGCTAGTGTTACATTTACATCAACTGCCACCATCATCCATGCATCCCTTTTTTTCTGTGCTCTCTGCCGCCCCCTGCAGGACGATCCGGGAGCACTTGGGGGAGCAGGAGGTCTCCATCTCCCTGACCATTGACTCCCTGGAGGAGAGCGACCTGGGCAACTACTCCTGCTACGTGGAGAATGGCAACGGGCGGCGACAGGCCAACATCCAGCTCACCAAGAAAGGTGAGGCGAGCACACAAACAATGTGAAAAATACAGGTTTAATTTAAAGCATATAGGCTACAGTATTTTACCATGAATCTAGCAGATGGATATAGAAACCTTGATATTTAATAATGGCATGTTTCAGCTTTGGAGGTGAAAAACACCATTTAATACCACAGGCCTTCGCTCTGACAATAGAATGAATCTCTCGCAGCAATTTACGGAGTACAAAGAAGAACCACTAGTGGGATTGTGGGAATTGACCAGTTGTTTCTCGCCTCAGGGAGGGGAAAAAAATGGGACAGTATTGTAGATAGTGCAGAAAGCCTATTCATCTACTTCAGCCTGAGGAAGTATTAGTTTGCAGAGAAAGAAAAGGCGCTTTCGGAGAGAGGCAGCCTTCGGTGTTAAGATGCCAGACAAGCTTTTTGACTGTCTTGCTATGACCTCCCCCATCACACACACACGCACACAAATCCTCCTTTGATCGACGAACTCTCACTCAGACATTTTCTCATCATTCGTCACTGGCTACTGTTGCCTTTCCCCCAACCCCTTGTCTTTTTTATTCAAGCAAACATGTTTTTCCTCTGATTTCGCCTCACTGAGGATGACTGTTTGAAAGTTGATTCCGTGATGATTTTAAATAGAGATTCACACTTTCTTGTGTGGTTATATAAGTGATTTCTATTTTTTAGCAAGGCTAGGGGGGTCTCTGCATCCTTAAAGTTGTCAGTGTTGAATACATTTACATAGTAAGATATTTTTCCTCTCTTTTAAGCTTGCAGCTTTGGATCCAGCTTTGATGGCAGCCCAGTTCTCCTCCATTTGCTATATTAAAGAGGTTTATGCTGCACAGTGGAATCTCAGAATAAACCGGAGAAGATTAGCCTGGTCCTTGCAGGATTGCGGGTCTACAAGAAATCACCCAGTTCACATGTTTTCTTATTTGCTGCTGTGGTATGGCACAAGGCCAGACAGTGTTTACACCGCCTTTCAAAGTTTTCCTCACTTGTCTCTTGAAGCTGTGAAAACAGCACATGACACTTCAAATGAATTTGGTCGTCTCAGCAGCATCAATCAGAATATGTCTTCACTTGTATGTAAAGTTAAGATGGAGATGCGTCCTTATTTCCACTTCTTGTACAACTTCTCGTAGTCAAGAAGTTGTGATTCTCCAAGTCCTCCTGACCAACTTTTTTTCAGGAGCAACATATCTTCAGACATTTTCTTTTCTCTCATAACAGCAGCACCAACATCAACTAGTAGACAGCTGCCTATACTGTGTATGATGCTCTTTATTTGTGAACATAAGAAACAACTGTCACAATCCTCACTGCTGCTCTCCACTGTTATATTTTACCATTCAACCCCTACTCTGCCTTTTCCTCTTCTCTCTTTTAATCTCTGTCCCTAGACTACAGAGAGAGAGAGAAATGCAGAAATCGAGGGAGAGAAAGGGGTGATGAATTGCCCGATGCCATGTGGCTCCATCAAATCCAGCCTCCTAGTCTTCAGGAGCTAATTTGTCTTAATCCGTCCCACTGCAGCGCTGCTACAATATGGATGCCAGACAGAGAAGAATTGGCCTCCTCCGCTGTAATCTTTGCTGCTTGAGGAGCAGCTGGCTCGTTATATTGTCCAGATATTTGAAGAGAGAGAAGCAGTGTTCGCTGGGCCGAGAGGGCAGAACGGAGGTGGAAAGGACAGTGAGGGAGAAGTGGAGTAGCAGTGCTTGTTAGCCGCAACACCTCTCTCAGAAAAGTGAACTAATTCAGGATGATTCCCAGGCCGAGAGGAAAGAAAGTGAGACAAGAAGAGGAAGTCAGAGGCTCAGTGGGGGAAACCTGTGTTCATTCTGCCCTGAGTTTGTTTGCTCTTTTGCTTGCGTACGTGCACGTATGTCCGTCCGTAAGTTTGCCTGAAGGTCGTCGCCCAGACAGGCGTGATGAAGCGGCGCGGGCCACGCTCGTTAGCTCTATAGAACATCATCCTTCATCATGGGAGCTGTCAGGCCGATGGCCGCTGCAGTGGAATGGGCAACGCGCACTCCAACGAGGTTAAATGTGCATCGGTGATGGATGGTGATGTGCGCGAGTCCTCTCCATCCATGTTTGTGTGTGTGTGCAGCATTGTGGCGATTCCAGCCTTTTACTGTTGTCCATTAGTCAGCCAATGAAGGCTGACCACCCAGATTTTGTGAGGTGTAGCCAAGAGGAAATGTTGAACTGCAAAAGATGGAGTGACATCCGACAAAAAACACTGTAAAAAAGACAAAAAAGCCTTGAAAAAGAGACAAGATCATGAAAAGACAAAGCAAACGACTTAGTTTTCAAGGCAAGTTACGAGACCATGGAGCTTAATGGTTGAGTCCATTGTCCTGTAGTGTAAAATATCACCTTTCATCCTCCTCAATAACACTACAAGTTTGGCTTCCACTGAATAGTTTTGTCTTGTGGACTTTTCTTAAAACACGCGATTTAGAATAATCTGTTGTGTAAAACTGAAATATCAACAGTGAGGTCTGGCAGCTCCTTGAATTTAGCTCCCGCTGATGATTTTCACAAGCTCACGTCAGGGTACAGTGATGACGGATGGCAGGGGAGAGTGGACTGCTTCGATCTGTCAACGAACAGGCGGTTCAACTAACAGCCAGGAGCTTTTCCTCGCCTCGCACCTCTCTGCAGCCGCACACGCATGTAACCGATCTTCATAAGTGTGGCAGTCTGATCTGTCACATGCTATTGTCGCACTGGTTGCCTCAATGTGATTTTTTTATTATCCAATGAAGCCAGGAGGAAGTAAGTGACAGGTATAGAAGTGGTTGTACTTTTATTCCGGTTAGAGTTATGTGTTATCTGGATACAATTCAGCCACCATGTGAATATGAGCAACATGAAAAAATGGAGAGGAAAAGCAAGAAAAATACAATCATAGACTGAATGAATACAGCCGCAGGAGACACATATAAGCCTTTTTCAAGCAAGTGCAGATGTGCTGCAAAGTCAATTCACAGCATAGAATCTTTGAACAATAGCTAGTGCAACTTTTCTCATCCATCATGACTGCATCATGTATTATTTCACATGTATTGACGTTCTGCAGTCAGATTTTGCTCAAAGTGTGATCTGGTGTTCAGGCTCCTGTGGGTGCAGGCTGACGTTAATGTACATAAGAACTGAGAAATAAGATGGAGAGTATGTGTAAGTGAGCAACTCTCTTGAGTTTTTGTAGAATCTGAGAATAAATATAGTCTCACAGCATCAATTGTCTGCATTTAAAATAATAAATGTGACAGTAAAAAGGGTCGTCTTTCATACTATTCACGCCCTTTTTTACACTAAATGCTTCATGTGATAGGCAAGTTATCTTAAATATTCTTTGTTTAGATAGTTTCACTTGACTAAAATCTCCTTTTTTCTCTCCCTCCCTCTCGCTCTGTTTGCCACATTAGCAGAGCTGATGTACACAGTGGAGCTGGCCGGAGGTCTGGGAGCCATCCTGCTGCTGCTGATCTGTCTTGTGACGCTGTACAAGTGCTACAGGATCGAGCTCATGCTCTTCTACAGGAACCACTTTGGCAGTGAGGATATAGATGGAGGTGAGATGAGATAAGGAGCAAGGCGTAATTTACTTTACACCGTTATATAATAATCTTTTGTAATCTGTGATACCACAGTGTTTGCTGTTTAGTGGAGGATTTCTAAAGCGCCTTCCACTGCTGTGAAAGCATCCTTTCTGTCCTCCAGTAGGAATCAAATCCCAAACCTGAGCAGTATCAGTGCTGCTCCGCATGCATATTTATTTTTACTCAGAAAGCACCTGGGCTATTTTTCATATCTTAAAGCTGCATGTGGCACTATTTTTATGTAAATATGCACCTGTTTTATCAGTTGAAATGACACAGAAAAGAGCCTCCCATCGTCATTTTCAGGGAATTTTCTCAACCCGTTGGAAGAGCTAAGTCAAAAAAATGTATGCAAAATATTCTGTAAACTGTCTCCTGAACAGCAGCAAACAACTCACCAGTCTTTGATGTGGATCCTTTTCTTGTCACATTTGCATCCTAGTAAAAACTAATCACAAACCAGCCTTGTAAAAATGCTCATGCTGAGTGCTGTTTCCTGACATCACAATGCATGACTTTTGGGTAATGAAGTTCAGGCTTTCAAACAGTTCCCTCTCACTGCGCTTCAGAGCCCCCAACAGGCAAAGTGGCCGAGTTTAGCTTTAAAAGAAAAACACGGCCTTGATCACTTAAACACAGTGAATACAGCAGTTGCTGGTGATTTGCTTTGTATGTCAGGGTGTATTTAGTTGTTGTGCATTTTTCTTATTCCAGCAGATAACTAGTGAAAACACAAAATGATGTGAACACATTCTAGTTAACAGTATTTGTCAGGCCCCAAAGATCCCCTATTTGCACAGTACATGTCACTGTCATGTTGTCTTTTTTTTCTTGTTTTGACTGATGCATCTACTTTGGGCTATTTGCTAACTGGCATTCAACCTAACATGAAGCACCTCAGCAAATATAAATCAGTTACTCGAGAGTTTAAAGGACCAGTGTGTAGGATATAGTGGCATCTGGTGGTTAAGATTGCAACCATCTGAATACAGCTCAGTCTTGGAAGTGTAGGGGACAGCTACAGTGGCAGTGAAACTGGCAAAAACATACTTCCCTCCTTCCCAGTGTTTGGTTTGTTTATTCTGGGCTACTGTAGAAACATGGTTCAACATGGTGGACAGGAACCAAAATGGCTCATTCAAAAGTAACCAAAACACAGATTCTTATTTCCAGGTGATTATACACTAATAAAAACATTCCTTTCAATGTTATATTTAATTTCTGCCAATAGATCCTCCTAAATTACCTAATTTACACACTGGACCTTTAAGTGCTTTTATCTGAGGTGTTTATGTTATTTCATCCAGCCCGTATATTTCCAGAGCAGCTACACTGGAGTCACGTTTTTATGTCAGTGCCTTTGAATCAAGCAGCAATAGCTTCAAAGCATCATACTGGGGCATGTCCATTATGGTAGAGACATTTTTCCGATGACAATATCCTCAAAACACCTAAAAATCTCAAGACCACTGCCAGTACAGTTACTGTCCACACTGCTGTCAATACCAGGAATTTGTAGAAGACACACAGCTCTGGTGATCGCTTGTTAAATCTGGCCTACACTGCAGTAGAGTTGGAGGTGAATAAGGAGTAGGCCATTGTACACAGTGAGACAGACTTTCCTGTTTACAAATGCCTTGGCTCTGCTTATTGCACCCAAACAAGCTGCCAGTTTTTATTTATTGTGAGCATCTTTCCACGAAGAGGAAGGAAGTCCTATTTGAAAGCAGACACACAGCAGTTTAAAATGCTTCCAGACAATTTTACAACTCTGCAAAGTGTTCACATGGACAATTATTTTATCCTCCATTGTAATCATTGTAAACATTAAACAGTAGAATTATAAGGAGGTAGTTTTGGTCAAAACGCGGCCCAGGTGGTGCTGGTAGTTTTTGTGAAAAGGGGAAGTTATTGCACTAGTGTTGCTCTTGTTGTTCTCTATGCTCCATCAAACTGAAAATTCACAGTTGAGCAGAATTCTGAGGAAAACATTAAATTAAGCGTGGTTTGGTTGTGATTCTGTGTGTGTAAACTGCGCATGAACAAGAGCAAGAGTGAAGGGATAATATATTCTGCTGAACACTCTCTATAAAGCAAATCACAACACTGTCCCTGTGCCAGACAAAAACATTAACTCTGAAGCCCCATCAGCAACAGTAAAAGAAAAAAAAAACCTCTGATTGGGCCTGGTGGATGAGTCTTGGTTTGAGAATGCATCAAACTGAGACAAGGAGCAAGTTTTAATTTGATTCCCCTGTAATGAGTCTCTCAAGTACCAGCGCAGCAGTGAATTCAGGGGGAATGAGATTAGTTCAGAGCGGCTGAGGGACTGTACGTAGTGGAAAGAGAGACAGCAAGAGAGTTATGAGCGTTAAAAGGTAAAAGTATTCCCTGCTCCTCTCCTCATACACTCCCAACTCTGCTTAACTGTGATGGCTGCTCCATCAGACATTTCATTGAAAGTCATTACCTCTGGCTGTGTTGGGCTTCCGGCCCCGGGAAGTGGAGCTTTGGCGTAATGGATGGCCCAGAGGCAGTTGTGTTGAAAAAGGGAAGAAAAAAAAATGTCAGGGCCTTGAACTTAATGCCAAACAGCAATTGTCTCCTTTAATTGTGCAACCTGAGTCAATGCTTGAAGAGAGAAACAGATTTTCAATTTGTTCTCCAGTAGAAGGGGATCAGGTTCAATAAGACACAGCACGCTGCATCCGAAGCTCTCAGGAGGCCCCTGATACTTTCCTCCACGCCGCGGTCGATTAGATCACTTCACTGCCACCTCTGTGCGCGCACCTGCTCCTCGCAAGTCATCTCTGACTTCCAATGACGTTGCACTGCAGGTGAATGGAGAAGGATAAGGCATTAAATAGGAGCCAGGCTGGAAATGGTTGCCAGTTGTCCGGAGTTGAAACAGTCGCTAAGCACTGGCAGGAGGTGGTTAACCAAGATCCCATCTCTATGGTAACCGCTGCACTGACAGAGAGAAGTAGCTGCATGTAAGATATAGTTGCACACACACACACACACACACACACACACACACACACATTTTTCATTAATAAAGCCCTTAAGCCAGTGTCTCGGATGCACAGATTTTTTCCCCACAATATAAATCTGCACACACTGCCAAGAAAGTGCTTGTGTTTCATTGTGGCCACTCAAAGAACTAATTGAACGCCTGCCTCCCTCTTCTGCCAGATGTAAAATTGTAAGCTTTACGTAACAATAGGAGGGACTGTCAGCTATTTGTCAGCGGCGCAATTTAGTTAAAGACCACTCAGTTGTCACATTGTGTGGGTGTCAGTGGAATCAATAATAGGCTTCATGATGACAACAGCTGAGCGAGCTTGTCAAGGAGGTGGGAACTCATCAACACTCTGCCATAAATACGAATGTCAGTGTTGTCAGCGTGGTGCGGAATTATGAGTCTCCGTCTGTGTTCACTGTAGTTTGGCGATACCAAGCGTTAATAGTTTTGCAGCAACTGTAATGCATCCCGTTTAATTTGCATATTTAAGATGTAGAGGTAAACATCACCAAGCAGCTCATTTGTAATCAGAAGGTCAAGTGGTGTCCTGTGTTTCCAAAGCGATTTTGTCAGATGTAATAAAAGAAAGAAGATCAATAGCTCATGTGTGGGCGAAACATTGATCATCACACTTTATTTAATGAATATGAAAAATACAAAATGCTGAAATTTGTCAATTAATTGATTGGTCTTTAAGGCGTTCAGGTCATTTATCAAACATAAATGCCGATCGTTCATTGCTTCTAGCTTTTCAAATATGAGGATTTGCTGCTCTTCTCTGATGTAACTGTATTTAAATACTTTTATTTTTAGACAAAACAAAACATTTGAAGGAGTTACCTTGGACTGATGGTGATGATGATGAGCGTTTGGAAATTCTAATTTCCTTGGGAAAAAAAAGCTCCTTTTAAACAAGAAAAAACATGAATCATTTATTTCAAGTTGGAAACTTGCATCTCTATATTTGTTGAGTCTTTTGCTTGCATGTGGACAGATGTCACATTTTTGTATGTTCAGGTTCAATTCAATTCAATTCA